AAGGAGCTTAGTCATCCTTAGATTATTTGAGAATTAAGCAAGTGTGATTATGGGAGAAAGCCACGCTAGGCTCTTGTCATCAAGCCACCATCGTCCGTGCGTCTATATAAGGAGTTGTTTGGAGAAATTTTGCTCACTTTTTCCCTTATAGACCGAGCAGCACCTCTTCCTCCAAGCTATCAGCAAAGTTACTCAGAATTTCCCTTAAATCTTCCACAATCGCACGGTAAAACCGAAGTCCTATCGCACGGCATAAGCTTGTACCGCACGGCGAGGAGAAGCTGCGCTTTAAATTCCGATTTCCGTCGAGCGTTTAGGAAGGTAAAGCTCTCTTCAGTTCATAGACTTGATGATTAGGTCATCTTGTAGTTAAGTGTTCGGATAAATTACCGAGAATTTCAGATTTGACCATGAAAAGCCGAACATATTTGAGTAGGGTTATGCCCGAACAAAGTTTGAATTTTTCCGGCAAGTCCCGAACATTTATTAGTTGGTCAGCCTCTATTCAAAGTAATAAGTTCAGTTAAGTGTAATTGGCCGATGAAAAAGCGAGGATTGCCGGTGAATTGGCCAAAGCCGTAGCTAGTGCCGATCGCGCGCGGCTACGGACGGCCATGAGGCATGAGTTCATAAGCTGAGCATAAGCCATGAGCATTTATCGTTTATTTAGCCTTAATTCAGTTAATCATGTTCAGCCAAGTGAGGGTTGTCATGTAAAAATGAAGTTTTGCCGATGAAAAGGGCCCCAGCCGGCACCCCGCGCCTATCGCGCGTAGCCTCGGGTAGCCGTGGGCCGAGGCTTGCTGTTTCAGTATTGATCAGTTCTCTCGTGTGATTAAGTCTTAATTCATTTCAGTAGATTGATCATGTAGTCAGGTCCTGAAGTTGTCGAGTAAAGTGGCTATTTGGCCGAGAGACGACCGAGGCCGTAGGCATCGCGTATTGCGAGCGCGCCACGGCCGGAGGTTCGGTCCATCGAGTTAAAGTCAGCCGTTTTATGTTAAAATCAGCTTAGTATTCATTTTAAGTCTTAACATGTCAGTATAAGTCAGTTCGGTCGAGTAGAGTTGCCGGGCGGTCGGCACGGAGCCGACTGTGGCCGCGCTGCCGCACCCAGCGGCAGCAGCGCCCCGGCCAGCGCCA